GGAGTGAACAAGTTCATTTGTTAACCGTAATTATTGTGTTAACTTTATGAATAATTATGACCATTTATTTTTAATATAAAGGGTTGTGATTAATCATATTATAAATTTAATTGTTGAAGGGTATTTATGTAAAAGATAATGTGCATTCAATGACATCGGTTACGAACAATAGAAATCATATATGTTCAATTGTGTTCATAATTGCCGCAAGTGTTCACATGTATGTTTAATTTGTGTTCATAATTGCCACAAGTGCTCATATATGTTCAATTTGGGTTCGTAATTGCCACTAGTGTTCACATATATGTCAATTTGGGTTCATAATTGCCACTAGTGTTCACATATATGTCAATTTGTGTCCATAATTGCCACAATTGTTTATATATGTCAATTTGTGTTCATATGGGGGTATACATGTCAATTTGTGTTATATATGTCAATTTATTTTCATAATTACCAAGACACTCGCTTTAATTATTTACTTCACTTCCCAATCTCAAACTCTAACTGTCACTATAAATAATTTTAATCTTCTCAATGTTGTCGTGTTGTTTTCCAATGTCTTTTATTCATAATTGTTTGAATGATAACAAACATTTTACTAGCGGATCTCCTCCACCAATCATAAATTTATAAATATTAAAAATGGAAGATCAATATTAAAAAAATGAAAAAATCACAAGATAAATATTAAAAATGCAAGAATCATGAGATTTTATGGATCTTGTAACTCCCAATTAATAATATAGAAGTTACAAAAAAGAAAAGAAAATTACCCATATACCCTTAACATTAAATTCTTAGATAGTGAAGAAGCTAACACTAAGATGGATTGTGATTGGTCTAAAAGGTTTATAAAGTTAACACAATAATTTAGGTTAACATTTGAACTAAGCTATATATATATATATATATATATATATATAGAGAGAGAGAGAGAGAGAGAGAGAGGGAGAGAGAAAGAGAGAGAGATAGTTTGGTTCAAATGTTAACCAAGATTATTATGTTAACTTTATAAATCAAGTTCAACCAATGAAAATCCATCTTTTATCTAGGTTCATATTTATCTCATAGGGTAAATATATAATTTTAGTTTGTATGTAACTCCCATATCATTAATTGGGAGTCACAAAATCAAAAAATCTCATAATTGTTGTTGATTTACTATTGATCTTGTTTGTCTATAATATTGATTATTCTATCTATAATGTTTTTGAATTTGTGATTGTTAAAGAAAAACCGATAGTAAAGTTTTCAATATCATTCAAGCTAATATGGCTAAACCCATTGGAAAACAACTCGACAACAATGGGAAGGTTAAAATGGTTTACGATGACAATCGGACTTCGAGTTCCAGAAGCGAACACAATAATCAAAGCATTTGTATTAGTAATGGATTAATATGTTATTGTATTCGTTTTAATCGAAATTATGTTGATTATGATGTTTTTGTGTTTCTTATAGTTCATATTGTGTTGGTAGCATTTTCTTTAATTATTACTACGAGCCTAATTCATATATTCAAATGGAATGAGTTCATTGTCAACTTAATTTGTTATGCAATCCAATTCTAAAAACCATTTGGCTCCATCAGCTGCTTGTGATGTTTGACCTGTCATAGACTGCAACTAATGTTCATATACGTTCAGGTGTGTTCATATATGTTCTAATAGGGACATGAATCAAGGCATCTAATATTGAATTTATAAGTTTTGTTATTTTATTGTTGATCTTTTTTTTTATAATATTGATTTTTCTATCTATACTGTTTTTGAATTTGTGATTGGTAGAAGAGTCCGGTAGTAAAGTTTTCGGCATTGTTCAAACTATTATGGATAAACTCATTATTTATAATGAAGGAACTATTGTTCACAAGTGTTCATATTGTGTTGATATGTACACTAGTTGCATATCTAAACATTGGTTCGCTCCTAAATGTGTTCATAATGAAGGAACTATTGTTCACAAGTTGTTCATATTGTGTTCATATGTATACTAGTTGCATATCTCAAAGGCATTATAATCCGTAAGGTTGTCATATCAAAAATGCAACTTACAAATGTTAGAATGACCAGTTTAAACACTGTAATCAAGTGAACTAAAATCTATCAATATAATCCAATAACCTCTTAAAATTAAATGATACGAAAAATTCAAAAGGATAAATTAAAGGGAATCACGTTTCGGACAATTCCGGGAATCATGTGTAGCCTTTTTTGACATAGCCGACACTTTCTCTTCTGCTTTTTGCCATTTGAAATTGCTTTCTCCACAACGCTAATAATGTTGGGTTACGGGATCTCAAGCACAGCGGAAAATAAAACCGTAACCCTCCAAGGACCCATACGAA